CACATCAAACAGATGCATTCGGGCTTTTGATCTGCGCTCGCGAACAGATGCTCTTATCCATATTTGAATTCCTTTCTGAATCTGAAAATGTGTTTTTGATAAATGACTTTTTTTTGAGAGCGAATAAATACTTAAATCGTGTTTCTTATAAATAACTTACCTCGATTAAGCTTCCTGCAGGATTTTTATCTACTTGTATTTGACACCCTTTCTAAATGAAAGAAAATAAATAAGTCTAAAGCGTGTTTTGGATAAATAACTTTTTAAAAAGCGAATAAATAGTCGTCTAAATCGTGTTACTTATAAATAACTTATCTCGATTAAGCCTCCTGCAAGATTTTTATTTACTTATCTTTGAATCCCTTTCTAAATGAAAGAAAATAAACAACTCTAAAGCTGTTAGCAGTCAAAAATTTGAAATGAGAATATAATAAATAAAAGTTTACTAAAAAATCTTGCTTTCCCCTTACTATTACAAAAATAATACTAACTCTTATGACGGAAAAAGTGCTAGTGTGACAGCACCTTACAGCAAGTATCTGATACAAAACTTTTTAAAAAGCGAATAATTAGTCGCTAAATTGTGCTACTTATAAATAACTTATCTCGCTTAAGCTTACTACAGGATTTTGATTTACTTATCTTTGACACCCTTTCTAAATGAGAGAAAATAAACAACCTTCCCCCTCATTAGTGAGATTTATCCAACACCCTTTCCAAACGACGCTCCTGTTCATTATTATTCTCCTCATGAGATTCTCTACAAGGGTTATACGACATTTCTGAATAATTCTTCTTCCTAAAAATAACCTTCGCATATTTAGAGATTTCCTTTTGTTGTTCTGAGCGTTAATGTCTTTCCGCTTCGTATTTCGCAAATAATAAAGAACTTCCTTTCTCATTTTCCGCGTATGTACACAGAAGGAGTACGTGCGAAGGTGTCTAGACAAAAGCTCTTTCTGCAACATGGCACAACAGCTGTTCCGAACTCCAAAGAATGTTACCAATGAGCTCTCTCCCTCCAGCCTCTCTCTCCCCTCTCTCTCTCTCCTTACTTTCCCTTTGTCTTTCTCCACCGTCTCCTCCTTCCCTCCCCTCACTGCCCCTTCCCGTCCTTCCCCTTCCCCCTCTCCCTCTCCCTCCCTCATCCTCCACCTCTCCCTCCCCTAGACGACCCGGAAGGAACCGAAATAGCGAAGGAAGGAGAGAAATAGGAGAGGAACCGGAGAGGAACCGAAGGGGAATCGGAGAAGAACGGGAGAGGAACCGAAGGGGAACCGGAGAGAACCGGGCGAACTTCCGCGGCCACGATGCCTGACACCGAGCCGCCCACTTTGAAGCCTGTCAGCCCCTCGCCGTCAGCGCCCCCCGTCTGACACAAGCAATCTGCCTCGCTTTTCCCGGCATTCCTTCACGGACTGTTTGCGAACGAGGGAGACCGTCAGCCCGCTTGGGATCGCGACGGCAACATCTGAGCGATTTTCCTTCGAGATCCGTGGGTCTTAAGGAGAGATTCCGGTTGTCGCGAACCGTCAGATACGTCGCGGCGTTCATTCACTAACTATTCATTTTAACTTTCTTCGTCAGCACGAATTTACAAGTGAAATAAACACATTTAGTCTACTCTCAAAGGAGAAAAATCAATAACCCACACGCACACGACACAACACACACACACCATACACACACAGCACACAACACCACACACACACACACACACACCACACACACACACACCACACACAAACACCACACACACACACACACCTTCACTGATCTTAGAACGAGGTTCATGGACTCCGACTGTCACCTTATGTCATGCGAGAAATCCAGTTAAAAGCAGGTCGAATCCAGCTGCCTCTGACAACACCCTGGGGCAGCGGTCACCCACGGCTGTCCCCGCCTCGCCTGTTGTATCTACCCCCGCCCGCCTATCCTCTGGTTTGTATAGGATACGGACTGTCTACCTTATCTTTATGCATCTCAGCTACCAGGATGTGAACCCTGTCTGTGTGGTGAGTGAGTGACAAGTGTGTGAGTGAATGAGTGAGGGAGAGAGGAGAGGAGGGGAGAGAGAGAGAGAGAGAGAGAGAGAGAGAGAGAGAGAGAGAGAGAGAGAGAGAGAGAGGAGAGAGGGGAGGGAGAGGGAGGAGGGAGAGAGAGAGAGAAGAGAGAGAGAGAGCGAGAGAGAGAGAGAGAGAGAGAGAGAGAGAGGGAGAGAGAGAGAGAGAGAAGGAGAAGGAGAGGGAGGAGGAGGGAGGGGAGGGGGGAGAGTGAGTGAATGAGTGTGAGTGAGGGGATAAAGGGGAGAGGGGAGAGAGAGGAGGAGAGAGAGCAGAGAGGAGAGAGAGAGAGAGAGAAGAAGATGAGAGAGAGAGAGAGAGAGAGAGAGAGAGAGAGAGAGAGTGTGTGTTTGTGATGGTGTGTGTGGGCGCGAGCGCGCGTGTGCGCGTGTTTCATACAAAAAAATCTTCCATTCTGCTACCATCTGTCTCTGAAAATTGTCAAAACATAAAGCACGTTTTAATTAACCCTCTTTCGAATTTTATGATTCTATTGTATTTTAACGATGGATTTACTGTGGACTCCATCAGATGCAAAATTGGTAATTGAAAACACAAAATAAAAGGAACTAATTAATATACTAATATATTGGTGAAGTGGTTTGGATAAAAGAGAAAATATCGACATGAAAGGTATAAATAGAAACATAAGATAAAGAGAAATTTAGAGGGAGAGGGAAGAGGGAGAGAAGAGAGGAGAGAGGAGAGAGAGAGAGAGAGAGAGAGAGAGAGAGAGGAGAGAAGAGAGAGAGAGAGAGAGGAAGAGAGAGACAGAGGAGAGAGAGAAGAGAGAGAGAGAGAGAGAGAAGAGCGAGAGAGTAGAGAGAGAGAAGAGAGAGGGGAGAGAGAGAGAGAGAGAGAGGAGAGAGAGAGAGAGAGAGAGAGAGAGAGAGAGAGCAGAGAGAGAGATGAGAGAGATGAGAGAGAGAGAGAGAGAGAGAGAGAGAGAGAGAGAGAGAGAGGAAGAGAGAGAGAGAGAGAGAGAGAGAGAGAGAGAGAGAGAGAGAGGAGACATGCAGAGAGAGAGATGAGAGGAGAGAGAGAGAGAGGAGAGCAGAAGAGAGAAAAGAGAGAGAGGCGAGAGAGAGAGGAGAGAGAGAGGAGAGAGAGAGAAGAGAGGGAGAGAGGAGAGAGAGAGAGAGAGAATTGAGAGGAATGACGAGAGAGAGAGAGAGAGAAATGAAGAGGGAGGGAGAAGAGAGAAGGAGGAGAGAGAAGAATCGCAGAGGAAAGAGAGAGAGAGAGAGAGAGAGGAACCGAGGAAGAGATAGAGGCGGGAGCGGAGGAGAGAGGAGAAGCGAAGCAGGAGAGACAGGGAGAAAGGAGAAGACTCCAGGAAGAGGAAGAAGAGAGGAGAGAAGAGACGAAAGAAGGAAGAGAGAGACGAAGAGGCAGAGAAACAGAAGAGAGGAAGAGAAGGAGAGAGAGGGAACGAGGAGAGAGACAGAGGCAGAGAGAGAGCGAAAGGAGAAGGGAGAGGAGAGAAAGAAAGAGAGAGAGAGAGGAAGGACACCGAGAGAGAAGAGAGAGAGAGCAGGAGAGGGAGAGACGACGCGCAAGAGAAGAGAGAGAGAGAATGAGCGAGAGAGAGAAAATGAGAGAGAGGAGAATGGAAGGTGGAGTGAGCAGGGTGAGACGTGCGAGAAGAGAAAGAGGAGACAGAAGCGAGGAGGACAGAGATGAGAGACGCACGACGCCGAGGAGGCAGAGCCGAGAGAGGAAGAAGAGCGCAGACGAGAGCAGAGAGAGAGGAGAAGCCAGAGTTAGAGCGGATGAAGAAGGGAGACGGACGCCGCGAGGAGCAGAGGCAAAGGGAGGAGGGGAGAGAGCCGAGGAGGAGAGAGGAGAAGGGCAGTGAGCGACGGGAAGAGGTGGGACGGAAAGGAGGAGGGTACAGAGGCCGAAAGAGAAAGAGAGAGGAAGAGGAGACAGACGAGGAGGCAGGGCCGAAGGGGGAAGGAAGAAGGACAAGAGGGAGAAGAGGGGAGAGAGAGTGAGATGAAGAGAGAGAGGCGCAGGAGGGAGAGGAGAGGAGAGGAGAGGAGAGAGAGAGAGAGAAGACGAGGAGAGAGAGAAACGAACAGGGACTGAAACAGGAAAAGAGAGGGAAGAAAGAGAGTAGGGTACACATTATTATTAACAATGACAATGCACAACACGGACATAAGCAACATCCGGTTCACATAACATCACAAGCACACGGACGAGACATCTCAAATTTCCATTCCATCTTTCTTTCTCTCGCACACTCGCTCTCGTTTCATCTTCCCCTTCTCCCTTTCCCAAATATCTTGCACGAGTCAGCATGCAACAGAAAACCAATAAGACAAATGCCGAACTGGAGACTCCCGTGCACAAAGGGAGGCAAAAGGTAAACAATGGAATGTTTGCATCATCCCTTCCTGAGCCGCTCTGTGCGATAACAACAGGTGAACGTTGCTAAAACAGAACGGCAGCCACTACAACGCAGGAACGTATGTCGTGAGAATAATAAAAAAAAAAAGTACTGTAGTGCGGTTGTGGTGATGATAGTGATTATGAATGAGGATGATGAGATAATGAGATAATGATGGTTATAAAGGTAGTAACAAATGACTGATGGTGACGATGATGATGAGGGTGAGGATGAAAATGAAAATAAAATAATAATGATTGTAACAAAGAGGTTAATAATAGTGATATCAATAACAATGACAATAATATCGATAATAAAAAAAACGTGATACTACTACAAATAACGAACAAAATTGATAAACACAAAAAAAACAAACAAAAGCAACAACCCAAATCAACACAACAGACCCACATCAAAACAAAAAACAAACAAATCTTCACACACCAAAAAACACCAACACGAGACAACAAAAGCAACAAGAACATAACCGACAAAGAAAGAAAGAAAGAAAGAAAGAAAAAAAAAAAAAAACGGGCACCGACCTCGCCTCCCGAATCTTAAGCACAGCAACGACCCTGATAACACAGCGCCGGCACTTTGTAGTCCGCCAGCGAGACACATCCGAGTAAACAACACGGCCAAAATATAATCCTTTGTTAACACATCAGCGCCAGACGTGCCCGAGCATCGCACGCCCTCGCTCGCGGTATCACACGCTCACGCCCTCGGCTATGTTGGGCGCAAACACAGGACAGATTGCGGGGGCTGATCCGTCGATGGGCAGTTGGGCTGTTGACACGCCTCGTCTTTCGTCTGTGGGCCTGTTGTGGGAGGAGAGAGGGAGAGGAAGAGAGGAAGGGAGGGAAGGAGGAAAGGAGGACGGGATTGAGAGAGATGCATATACATGCATATGCATACACACACACACACACACACATACATACATACATACATACATATATATATATATATATATATATATATATATATATATATATATATATATATATATATACATATACATGTCTGTAGACACATATCTCTGAGATACGAAGAGAAGAGAAGGAAATGGAGAGAGAAGTGAAAAGAAGAAGAGAAAGGATAACAAAGGTCAGACAAGATAAAGAGAGACAAAAGAGGCAAATCCATCTCTAATCGCAACACGACAAAGCCCCGACTCGAGATCAAGCAGCGACATAAAACAGAATACGTAAGACACAGACTCTAAGACCGTGAACGTCAAAATAGAAGAGGAAGGAAGAGAGAAAGGGCGCAACGCAATAAATCATGAGCACAAATAAAAAGCACGAACGATGGCGCAATATTTATTATAAATACGGCACGGTGCAGCGATTTTGAAATCTTTTCGGATTATATTAATATTGTGACTCTATCTCCGTTAAGTTTCTATTTTTAACCGCCTACGAATGCCAACTGTTATTCACTAAATACATAATGATTATAATAACAATAATAATGATAATAATGACAATGCTGCTGATGATAACGGTAATAACGACAATGATAATGATACTTATAATATACCCTGATAATAATTAATTTTGATCTTAGGATCATCTTTAATCAAACTCAACTAATTATAGAGATCAAACACAAACGAATAAGCAGAAAATAACGATAACAAATAGCAATAACATCATAAAACAGTAACAGAAAATAGGGATATCAACAGAAAATGCCAAACTCCAATCCGCTTTAATATACGGAACCCGCAACACCAAACACGGATAAAAATACAAACCTAATCACCTCAAAATAAACCTACACGTTCACAGCAACAATGAACGCCTCAAAATGAACCTTCCATACGCTCAACACCGTTCCCGTGGCGTGTAGCAAACAATTTAAATCTTAATGATGTTTGATAACCTCCTGTATCACATTACGGCCTGATTACCCTTAACTCGACCCAAACGAGCTTCCCGCCTGTTTAAAACAAGCACTGATTTACCGGCCTTTCGGGAATATGAACTTTCGGGAAAAATGAGAGCTAAATCTGAATCATTTATGGAAACAGGAGAAGAGCATACGAGTGATTATCTTTATCGATGATGCTCTATCGACATTCGTGCTTTTTCTCCCCGTGTTCCCGTTGGCCCAGATGACCTTTGGGGGAGCTCTGAAAGGTCGTGCTTACAACACAGGCCTTGGAATCCTCAGTGAAATACTTATGGCACTTGTTTCATCGTCATTACTCACCGTACAGCACTGCAAGGCCTGCTGTCTCATCGAATCAACTCACCTGGAAGGAAGAGAGAAAAAAAAGGACTTTAGATTGGGTAAGAAGACAAAAGTAATTGGAACATGACACGTAAAAATCCGAATCAACTGTCAGAGGAAATCACTTCAGTAAGTCAGTAAGACAGGAAGCAGGGAAATAAACAGGCAAAAAAAAAAAGAAATAAAAATAAACAGGCAAAAAACTCTTCCTTGACACACCAAAATTACGTTACATTCCAAAACACCAAAACATCTGGAGTTAATCCATCTCCGGCCATCTTTTCTGAAAGGCAAGGCTTATAGGGACATCTGATCACGTTCTTTAAAGAAGTAACTGTTATCTGGTCAAACTTCTTTTTAAAATGTGTTATGGTGCAGCAAAAAAAGAGATATATAGAGAAAAAAAAAAAGTGAAAGATGGAATTTATAGATTTAAAAGGTGAAGCTGAAGTTGTATCCTTATAATTTACGCTATAGAATATCACAAACTAAGTCCCTAGAATACGCTCGGAGAGAACTTCGAGAAACAAACAACATCTGTGAATTTTTTGTTTCCTTCCGTTTATTTTCTTCAGAACTTTTCAGGGCATTGTCTCTATTTATTTTCTTTTTTCTCCCTATTTTCTCTCTTCTACCCAGTCTCTGGCCCCCATGCTTCCTTCTCCTCCTATTACATCCTCTTTCCATCTCCTTTGCTCCCCTCTCACCCTCTTATCTCTTCCTCCATCTTCCCTCTCTCCTCCTAATTCCTCCCCTCTACAACAACTCTGCTTCTTTGCCATGCCTCCTCTGCCCCTCCTCTTCTTCCTTCTCCTCCTCCTCTCTCCTCTCCCCTCCTCTCCTCCTCCCTACATCTCCTACTCCTCCCCGTCTTCGTCCTCCACCTCCTCTTCCCTTGCTTCTATAGTCCTCCCCCTCCTCCTTCTTCTTCTTCTCCTTACCCCACTCTCCTCCTCCTCCTATCCTTCCCCCTCCTCCTCTTCCTATTCCTCTTCCTCCTCCAATTCCCTCTTCCTCACCTTCATTCTCCCCTCCTCCTCCCTTGCCCCTAAAATCCTTCTCCCCTACTCCTCCTCCTCTTGTTCTTGTTCTTGTTCTCCTTCTTCTTCTTCTTCTTCTTTTTATTCTCTTCTCTTCTCCTCTTCATCTCTTCTCTTCTTCTTCTTCTTCTTCTTCTTCTCTTCTCATCATCATCATCATCATCATTCATCATCATCATCATCATCATCATCATCTCATCATCTTCTCTTCTTCTTCTTCTTCTTCTTCTTCTTCCTCCTCCTCCTTCCTCCCTCCCTCCAATCCTCTCCCTTCTCCCCTCCCCCCCCTCCACCTACCCCCAAAATCCAACACGCAGTCAGTTCGGTCCCTCTTGGGTCGCCCCTCCACCCCCTCCCCCTTCCCCCTTCCCCACCCTCATTATCCAACCATTTCCCGCCGCGAGTTCCTGGTCATCGGCGAAGAAAATAATAAAACAAGAAAAAAATGCAAAAAAAAAAGAAAAAAAAAAAAAAATTGCAACACGGATCAACACGCGAGGGATAACGCTGCCTTCATGTTGCTTCGTCAATGGCTGCAACATTTCCCTTCAAGCCGGATCCTTTGGTTCAATTAACTCCCCCAATCACGTCTTCCTCTTGAGACCAATTCACTAATAATGATTTTTCTGTGGTTCATATTTATAGAAAATAAGAACATTATTTAAAACAAAAGCAAAAGAATGAGTAAAGGAAGAGAGATGGATACAGTAAGGAGAGGGAGAGAGAGGAAAGGGGAGAGAGGAGAAAAAAGAGAGATAGAGGGAGGGAGAGGGAGGGAGAGAGAGAGAGAGAGGAGAGAGAGGGGAGAGAGAGAGAGAGAGGGAGGGAGAGAGAGAGGGGAGAGGGAGAGAGAGAGAGAGAGAGAGAGAGAGAGAGAGAGAGAGAGAGAGAGAGAGAGAGAGAGAGAGAGAGAGAGAGAGAGAGGAGAGAGAGAGAGAGAGAGAGAGAGAGAGAGAAGAGAGAGAAGAGAGAGAGAGAGAAGAGAGAGAAGAGAGAGCGAGAGAGAGAGAGAGTGAGAGAAGAGAGAAGAAAGAAGAGAGAGCAGAGAGAGACAGAGTAAGAAAAAGAAGAAAGAGAAAGAGACTGAGACTACGAAAAAAAGAAAAAAAAAACACACACCCATCTTCGCCCCCCATCACCCCCCCCTTTCCTTTCGGACAAACTAGGCCTAACTCGATCGCGACGGTGTACAGGCTCCGGGGTTCAATCAGTCCCATTATTCCAATTATCCCTACCTATCGAGCATCGAGAGGGAGAGGGGGGAGGGGAAGGAGGAGGAAGGAGGCAGGAAGAGGAGGGGGAGGGGAAGGGGAAGATGAGGGGAGGGGGAAGGGAGAGGAAAGGAGCAGGAAGAGGAGGGGAAGGGGAAGAAGAGGAATAGGAGGGGGAGGAGGAAGGGAGAGGGAAGGAGCAGGAAGAGGAGGGGAAGGGGGGAAAAGAAGAGGAAGAGGAGGGGGGAGGGGGAGGGGAGGGATGGAGCAGGAAGAGGAGGGGAAGGGGGAAGGAAGAGGAAGAGGAGGGGGAGGGAAGGAGCAGCAGGAGGAGGAAGGCTAGTAGAATGAAAGTAAAGAGGAAGAGGAGGAAAGAGAAGGAAGGAGGGGAAAGAGAAGAAAGAAAGAAAGAAAGGGAGGGTAGGAGGTGGAGGGGAGGAGTAGCAGAAAGGAGGAAGGCTAGGAGGATGAAAGGAAGAGAAGGGGATGAGAGGGAAGGTGGGAAAAGGGAGGGAAAGAAAGAAAGGGAGGGGGAGGGAAGGAACAACAGGAGGCGAAGGAAACTAGGAGGATGAAAGGAAAAAGCAAAAGGGGGATTAAAGGGGAAAGAGATGGAAAGATGGGAAAAGGAGGGGGAGGGGGAGGAGGGAAGGAGTAGGAGGAGTAGGAGGGCTAGGAGGAGGAAAGGAAGGAGGAAGAGAAGGGGAAGAGAGAGAGAAGGGGGGGGGAAGGGAGCGAGATAAAAAAAGGGGGAATGGGGCAGGAGGAACAGCAGAAGCAGAAGGAAACTATGAAAGAAGGAAGAAGTGGAAAAAAGGAGAAAGAAAGGAGGGGATGAGGAGCGAAGAAAGAGGGAGGAAGATTAGCAAGAAGACTGGAAGGAGAAAGAAGAGAAGAGGAGCGAAAGGGAGAAGAGATGGTGATCGAAAGAAAGAGATGGAGGAATTAATGGCGGAAAAGAGGAGAAAAGAAAGGAGGGGCAGAGGGAAGAATGAAAGGGTGAAGAAGAGGTGGAAGGAGAAGGCGGGAAGATGAGGGAAGAACTAAGAGGGAGGGAGCAATAA